TTTTGCACAGTTTCGTGGCATGATTGTCTTAGTTGAACAGCTGGAAATCGGAATGAACGTCACAACCCTTGTATGAATGGAGTGGAAGATGATAATGATAGGGTGAAAGCGAGATTACTTTGCAGTGTATGTTTACATATTCATTGACATTTTTATGTGCAAAATGTAAAGTAAATATACAAATGAAAGCCAGTATTGATATTTTGTGTATTTGAAATAAACCGCGCTACTTTCAGTGTATCAATTAAATTATTATGTAAAGTCAAACACCGAAGTAAAATCATCTCATTATAGAAAAACTGCTATAAATGCCACAAACCGATTAGTAATAAAATGTCTGATTTACGAAACCCTTTTATTATCTTCATTGACATTTACAGCGTGTCCTAACTCGATTTGTCATTTTCTGTAACCGCCAAGTTCTTATTCTATAAGAGTCTTGTTATTTTATTCAATTTCAAAGTAAAAACGTAAAATGATGTTTACTGTTTGTGTTCTAAAATAAACGAATGTGTACACTGTTAGATCACCCTATTTGGCATTCGATTTTTTCAGCTTTAATTTAAGTATTAAGAAACTAAATATTCGTATATGTAAGTCTTTTCTCTGTGTTCACCACACACTGTAGTCACTACAGACCTTGCATATAGAGCTACATTGAATTTGGTTTTAATTAATTCTACGCAATAACGCAGTGACCGATCAACTAATAACTTAGACATTTGTGTATTTATTGCAATATGGTGTTGTCACGATGGTTGTTTAGTCAACATACATTGCTGTGAGTCATATTACTGATTTCAAGTACGTGCATCTGAAATGTCCACTTGGCGGCCGATTTTGAATTCATTTTGACTTTTAATAATTCCAAGGGTTCGACAATCCGGGAAACCAATCATCGATAATGCCGTAAAATCACACGAGGTAATCGATGGTTATTCTTTTTTTTCAATTAATAAAATGTTGTGGTGATCTATCTTGGGTGGGCGATCTTGTCTATGATATTCAAAATTCATATTCATTGTCAAAATAATAATTTGCTCTGCGTACTCCACACTGCGTATTATAATGTGTTATTATTACAGTGTGACACAGGAATTTGCCAATCATAGCTTTGAACTGGTCGTATCAATACACAATAGAAAACGTTTATATATTTATTTCTTTTTAAACAGAAGATAGAAAATTATGCTTAATGCAGGCATTTATTTCTCTGAAAATTGTTGCACGTTTCAAATTCCAAGAAAATAATTGGTAATCTATTAAACTTCACAATAGAGATGGAGCCCACAAATTGCCTCTGGGTTGAGTAGAATAAGTGCACCCTACGTCAAAGCATACATACATGAATGAGAGTTATAAATCGTGTCAAGATCAATACATAGCTCTTATCATAGTGATTTATGGTGTAGAAAAACGCTTGAGGCTGCCGATAAATAACCTTACCGAAAATCATTAAAAGTCGTGGTTTCTAATTTACGCACGCACTATTACGGACAAAACTGGAATCGACAGCCTGGAGACATATTACTTTTTTTTTGTAAACGTAGCTTCTCGATGTTTTGTAGATGGGAATATTGACCAAATATAATGGATATTTCACTAATACATGTTGATGTAATTAACAGTTTCGACTATCACAGGGTTAGACAAGGTTGTTTAAGCCTGGTCCCGCATTATGTGCTCGTTTATAATCTGCATAAGATATGTAGTTTGCAGAAATGTACATCAATTGAAGGTTGTTTTTTTTTTACCTGGGAAATGGTCATTGGTATCAGATGGTTTATTCCCAGGGCAAATCGTACACATAAATTAATCTCTATGAATGTTTAGTGAATGTTTTACTGATGACACTTATTTGCATAACGAGGTCACAGCACATTGACCTCATACCTTTTACTTATTACCATATGACCTACGATCTATGTAATAAATGATTTAATTCTTTCAAAAACAAATATTTCAACACTACGGACTTTCGAGTGAAATATCTCGTGAGATTACCTACTAAGACATTAAACCAAGCAATCATTGGTGCTTGTTTTGCGCTAATTGGGGGTTATATTTTTGACCCGACACGTTACGTAATTTGTACTCCTCAACCAACAGTCAATTGACGCATTTTGCATAAGGCTGCCTGGGATATTCCCTTTCCCTTGAGGTAAATTCTTTTTGAAATGTGTCCCAAAAATAATTCTTTATGTGTAAATTCCAGACATTTTTTGTAGGTAATTATTAAATTACCACAGGAATCCATCCTTCGGCAAATCATATTTACCAGTGATCGGTTTAGGAGAGTTTTGTTCGTGACATTAAATTGTATAACCAGTCAAACACTTGCTTAATGAAAACATTTTCAAGATATAAGATCTACAATGTGAAACGCGACAACGTAATATACTTTTCAAAAAATACCAACTTTTGAAACAAATGGCGGTTCACTTAAAATCTCCTACGATGGTATATATCATGGGGGAAATGCACAAAGTCTAGTTGCTAGTGTATTCCAGTCTAACCTGGTCTAGTCTAGTCTAGTACTTAGTTACTAGTATGTGACGTACAGAGTTAATAAGAAATCTACGAAAGGCTCTCTAGACATCACTTTATCCCAGCGGTGTTCACGTGTCCAGTGATAAACTACAATACATATTTTTCTCTTGCGTTTGTGATTATATAAACGTAAATACTCTGACATCACGTGATTTTTAATCTACAAATTCAAAGTTTCAAATCTACAAACAATCAAGTGTTTTGATTATAGCTCTCGTGGATATTTTTTTTCTGAAAGTATCCACACACTAAAAAGTGTCACAAAATAATGAATAAATAATATGAATAATATAAAAATTCAAAACACTACTTGTAAAAATGCGGGTGAAGGAGTATAATTTTACTATGTCCATTTGCCCTCTAGCGAACGTTGTCTGAGATGAAATTGAACTCAGTCTATCGACCACGTTGGAAACATTATTTTATCTGGGACATGTTTATGACGTTATAATTTCTCAGTGAAACAGATAAATTACAATTTGTAATTAGTAATTCCGTATTAAATAAAGTAACCATTTATGACGGTTTCCCCTTCATAGACCAGGTAGGCAGTGAGGCGTTTCATTAACATCTGACCATGAAGAATGCGCTAATGGATCTGGCAAGAACGTATTTATATATTTTACATTCCGAGGGGACACGCACCTAACGAAATATGCAGCTGAAAAATATAACTGAAGAGGTTGTTTTGGCAATATTTTCGTGATACCGCCGATTTAGCTTTTGGATTAGCGTTGAATAATACCTGAATGCGTACAAATTCGTTTGTCTCCATGGAAACTAATTCAAATCACCTATAAAGTTAAGTGGTGGATTTTGTTGTTGCTCAATTTTGCAATTAACATAAATATATACAGTATTGTAAAATAAGCAGCGCCAATCACATTACTGGTATCTTAACTGATATAACATTCTAACATATATTAATTAGTAATATGCTCGTCTGAAATTGAAATATGATTTGTTAAATTGAAATCAATGACACTGTATGACCTCTGGCCCAGTATTTCTCAACGCAATATCTGATACTTACGTATTTGAAATGGCTTCCACTACTAATTGCACTTCGGTAAAACACGTGACAGGTCGAACTAATAATGTGTTTAGTCTGCGTATCCGTGCGTCTCACGAGATTGGGGTTCTTGCAATTGGCATTTGTGACTGATTCATGCGAAGGCCACAACATGTCGATATTGATCAGACCCAATTGCACCCCCCCCCCCTCAGTCTCCCACTTCATCTCAAATCAACGCTACACACCTTTGCACTCCAACCATTAATCAGAAAAAATGTTGATACTTGGTCGAGTAACTTCGATGTATGTCGAATTTAGATGCGCACAAAAAAAAACAACGTTTTGCAATCAATCAATGTTATAACTACGCTTGTGCATGTAAGCTGTGATTTGGTTAATTCCTGTTTACGAGGAAACAATTGAACCTTGAAATTACATACGGTGGTATGGTTTTAACAACTCCATCAATGTCGCTAATGTGAAAGGTACGCTTGGCTGAATCATTGGCATTACGACTGTCATAATATTTGGATCAAATTAAAGAAAAATAGAAAAAATATATATTCTCACTTTGATTTCGAATCGTTAACGAGACTATTATGCACAAATAACCTAAAAGTTATGTGTGTGCGATAATTATACGCCATCGAAAACCCCCCAACATTTGTTGCCCTCGAATTGCTAGTTGTTCCGGGGTAATCAAAAAATGTACGGATTGTGTGTATTTTTTCACGCAAGCGGACATTTCGCATTAATTGTAAACTCTCATAAAATTGTGGAAAGTCCCGGAATCTACCGTGTTTTAGTAATGAAAATACTAAGCTCCGCCGGGATTACTGCCTCGATATACCAATGGTGGAGAGCGGCGCATATTGATAACATCCAGTGGTACAGAAGAAGCGCTTTTTAAAAAAAACACCACTTACCACGTCTGTTGAGTACTACACTCTATGCAAATTGTGTTATTTACCTACTCTAATGAGAAGAAAACAATTTTTAGAAGTTTATTCTCTATACAAACTCTTGAATGGGCAGTATAGCATTTCCCCCGGGTAATTTATTTTAATTTCACCTGCCAATTTTAAGACGCTTAAATTATATAATATATTTTTATGTAATAAACCAAGTGTCAATACATCGAATGTTTTTTTGTCGTGTAATACAAAAAACACATGTTTTAACTAGTTTTAATATTCACACTTTCTACTGTATTTGTTTTTGTTTTAATGAATATTATGATCAATGTACTCATGAATGGCTCTCTGTCAACTAGATTACCTAAATCAACCAATCAATACTAACGAGCTATCTTTTATACATCTGCAAATGCAATTAAAATTACAGTAAACGCTCCCATTGACTATAACACTGAATTCCTAAAGAATGCTTTGATCGGTAGCAATTAGTTATTCTTGTTTTATTCACTTACTGATAGGTTATAGTAATCCTACTCCGCCGTTGTCGTTAATCGCTGGACAGTTTTGGGACCGAGTTCTGGTAAGAGTCCTAAGAGGCGCGCAGCAAAAACAAGTTTTGCAATAGGTGATTTTCCGTACAATTGCGAGATCTCGCGAGATGCATGAAAGACGTGCGTCGAACGTCTGCCGCAAAAATCGAACGATTTGATTTTGAACTAGAATTTCTTTATTTCGTAGCTTACATTGACCGGCCGATCTTCGACAGAGGAATATTGCTTCCGAATACCCTTACTTAATCGAAATTGCCTATCATCAAATGTGAACAGCACATTATTAAGCATGGAAATGTCCCCGAAATACTTTCGCGTTTGTCGAATCCCACGCGATGTTTGACGTGACTACGACGCTATGACCTTTGTTTGTCCTGTTTTTACGTTCGATTTCACGCATAACGCGTGATTCTCGCAGTGAACGGAATATGGTCTATTCTCTAACACTTCACGGCCATTTACGTATAAGACAAATTTACCTAAAAATATAAAATTCACTTTCACTTCAACGTATCATACATTCTACACGTTTGAATACCTGGTCGTATAGCGAAGGAAGAAGATTTTATGTTTTCTTTTTTTTCGTGTTATTTTGTTTTGGGTTATAATGTTTTATCATCTCAATAAATTGTATTACAATGTTCGTGATATTTTTTTGCAGATATTGTACTGGGGGTTGTTGTTCTTGTTGTTGGCTTTTATTGGAAATATCGATGCTGAAACAAGTAAGTGTATGATCCCTATTGAAAACTATGAAAACACACTAAAACCTAATGTTAAAATTTTGTTTAAATACTTTTTGGTATCAATATTTAGCTTATATTACACTTTATATGGTTACTCGCTGTCACTGAACGCAATTTTCAGGTAATTCCCTGCCATGGAAAACGATTGTAAAATACAGAAAACAGATTATGTTCGTTTTCAATCAGTGTACATTTTGCATGTTAACTTATCCATCATTATGAAAAGAAATGCCTGATATGTAAATACATTTTTTTTTAAATTAACATTATTTTAATGATGCACTGTATTCCTGAAGTGTCAACGAACTTTGATACAAAATGACGAATCTCATCTACTTTTTGAATTAATGCTCCTATAAAAAACGTTGTATTTGTTTATGACAGTAATTGTTGTGTTATCCACCTTACAGATAACTGTGACCCTGGATGGACTTATTTCAACTATTTCTGCTACAAAAAGTTAATTAGTACAGCTGATTGGACCAACGCGGGAACCCTGTGCTATAACGACGTTGCTAAACTCCTCCAGCATTCACTCGGCTGCGGAGAATTCGTTTGTAAGTGGGCTGGCGGGAAGCGACAAAGTCTGGCTTGCCCTTAACGATAAGGTAACTATATGTGTTTAATGATATAATGACCTTGTAATAAAACCATATATTTCTCGTTAACATCAGCAGTATATTACACAGCAATGTATTGGACTACAGATAAAACGATTAGTTGTTAGTGTGTATGTTGTCATTAGTATTGCCAGTAAAGGTGCATTTGAGACTGGCAATCAAATATCGAAAATTAACTGTGGTAGAGATGCCTATTTCATCCCTAACTTGTTTATTTTAGTGTTTTTGATATCCATATTGATTCTATTCCGTAAACTGTAAACAAATTATCAAACATCCAGATTTTCCCAATTTGCCATATCTTTATCGCACAGTAGATAGCGTGTTAAAACGTATGTATTAAATTTCGCTACATTTTCTGGGGGAAATACCTTATAATTGATCAATTTCCGAATAGAAAAATGTTGACATACTAGCTAATTGTATGGCAAAGTTTATATTTATAGAATAAATACAGATATAAATACATATGAATGTATACCAGGCATTTCAATAAGGAACATCGCACCCGTTTGAAATGTATCAGACCTGTGAATGCATCACTGTGATTGGATGATCGACTATTTTAATTTATTCAAGGTTAAAAGTTATTTATTTATAAGCTAAATTATTCGTTCATGCATATACCCTAAAAAGGATGTATGGTTCAATAATAATAACATTGTGTATCGTATGTTGGTTCCTGTTTTTATCGAAGGAAAACAACTTTATCTGCAAAGAACACTCGTTGCAGATTATAACAAACTTTACTGAGACAATTTCTTCTTGTTTGTTTATATACGAACATTCAAACTTCCGGCAGTACAGTACGTATACAATAACATTAGCATCCCAAAGGTATACACACTCTTGTATAAATATTGTGTGGGTGACAAGAAACTCTCTCGTGGTAAATTCAACATGAGTACATTTTTTTTTAAATTGGTAAATGATGTTTTAGTTACCTTTCTATCAGTAATACGTTATATACGTTGCATGACTGTCCATAGGTTACTGAAAACAACTTTGTATGGAATGACGGGTCCACGGTGTCCTACACTAACTGGCAAACAGGTCAACCCGATGGAATCAGTGAGTAAACTTACGTAACTTTGTCAAATATAATGCAAATATTATGCGGCTGTATGGCAGAATTGAGAAACATTTGTATGAGATATGAATGTGTATTGTAAAGTGCGTCAGATATTGTATTGCTAATGATAAAGCACAATTGTTGAACGATTCGTGTAATTATTAAAATAAGTGTAAGTATTAAAATACGCATCATCATACATGTCACAAGGACAATATTTGGGGTCCCCCATTTTAATCTACCCAAGCTCGTATTACAAGTAGGGTAGTCTGCGAGTTTAGCTTGTTAAAACATATATATATTATCGATTAAGTCAATGGATGCATGTGATATTTGAATTGATTGTTATCGTATTATATAACGCTGAATTACGTCATCGAGAAAACGATAGGAATCCAGTTCTTGCGAATCAACATGGTGTGCACTCACGAAAGGTCGATGAACTGTGTACAGCTGTACATGCGACAAAAAAACAAAGAGCGTCTGGAAATGTACATCCTGTGTTCAAATGTGTTTTTTATTAATATAAGAAACTGCAGCTTTCGGTAAATACTCTTTACCCGAATTCGGTAAATATACTTTGATTGCTGAGTGTATGTCTCGTGGAAGCGCAAACAGTTATTTAACTTATGTTACACTGAGATTCGCTGTCGCAAATTTAGTGCAGCGTCTGCATTATGTATGCATAACTTTGGTAACATACACTGATTGTAATTAAAGATCAATTAATTGTGAGTTTTACTTAGCTGCTACATTAAACCCTATTTGTTTCCAATCACAAATTAGTTAATAAAATACCGCGGTGTAACGTTAACTTTTTCTGGTTCCGGTAAATAAACAGGTTTTCTTTTGTGAAAATGCTACACTTATTTATATATCCAAGTGGTCATAACTTTGTAATTGTAATCATTCAAATTTGACAACAACAAAAATACGGAATCGGTGACGAAAATTGTGTGCGTTCAAATTATGTCTTCATATACATCCCGTATAGATTGCATGTTTAACGCATCACGTATTTTGTGTTGTTGTTAAGTAGATGCGAATTTGGACTGCGTAGCCTTGAACCCGTCCATGAATGGTACCTGGTCCACAAAATTGTGTTCTGG